TGAACATGTACGTGACCGTTTCCGTCAGCCAACCCACCACTAGAAATATTGGGTGTACAGCCGAAGCAGCTGCTCCTGCGATGCCAGTAAACATAAGTGATAAATTCTCCTTATTGCTTTGACCTACGATCATACCACACCTTTCTCTAATCACAGACTCAGAACTACTCTTAGACTGCGTGGGGAGGGTGTACATCCTCTGCCTCTCTAACTTTGCGTCGTCAATCTCGTGACGCAATTCAATAACAGAATTGATGCTATCTGCTACTCTCCTCGCCTCCCTCTGACACTCTGGATCTGCATCCATATCATACCCATTAGATCCCAGGTTCGATCCCCAGCACCCACCATTATTCGGCGCTAACGATCGTATCTCTTGCGGCGTCGACATACTAGTTTTTTGAATACCATCTGGCTTCTCCACAAACTTATTCACCTACTTCTTGCACTTCATTTCGACTCCTCCTAGTACTCACCTCTAACCAAAGTTGCTTATAGAAATCATGCCTTGCTTTGAAGTACAAAGCCTGGGGTGTGGTATACCGAGTGGAGAACTCTCGCATACGACCGACACTCCTCAGACGACCTATTCGTAACAGTGGCGTGAGGGCTGACAGTTTTACTGAGCTGGGAGAACTAAAATGACAATCGCAGGTCCCATTAGGAAGTGGTTGGTCAACAACACTACAGTGGGGATAGGGAGAAGTGTACAGTAGTAGAACAGCGAACAAACCACTCGAACCGACCAACAGTTGAAATCTGCATCTTACTGGTACAACCCACTGGAAGTCTCACAGGATTCGGAAAAGGAGTGGTATGAACAACAAACCACGCCCAACTTGGAAAATACCACTATTGATGCCTCCATTCGAGTGAGTTACAAAATCGTTACTTGACCGAAACGGACGAGCCACTGGGCTCCGACCACGTTAGTCCAATTTATGGGCCTGCCCTTGGAACGGCATGAACGGCTGTGGTGCTTCCTGATGGTAACCTATACACACAACAACAATAACAATAACTATATCAGACCAAACAACTATACTATAATATAGACCATAATGATAACCCTCTTATCAATGCATGCAAAAGCTTATCGTATACCTCCATTTCTCAAATTTCATATCGTGGATACTCGAATTCTAACCATGAACGACTTCCAAAAAAGCTATCAACTCAAGCCCGCCTCGTAGCTCTATTATAATACCCCTCCCTTATATTACCCATAGATTGCCTAGCGACCTGTTGAGGCTGCCTTCCACCAGACTGCTGCCCTTCCTGCAGTAAGGGCATGCCCAGTGGCTGTTGTTGTTGTTGTGTCGCTCCTCCTTGTTGACCATCAGCCCCCAAAAAGAAAGCAGAGGCACCGGTAGCATCAGTACCACCTGACATCAGGGCTGGACTCGGTGAAAGCAACTTGTTTATTATCACCTCCACTCATCAGTTGAGAATACAAGTTCGCTCGGAGATCTGTATATCTACAAACATGCACTCGACGTCTGCACAACTTCAAAAAATATTATTATTACATTTTGCAAGAAAATACTAGGCAAGCTCCCATAACCAGGGTATCCTAACATAGAGCATGTGACAACACTTCATACCACTCCTTCCACAACCAGTACCAAAACGGACCAGAACACCCTATTACCATGACCATTGTGCCGAGTATGACCGCCTCGAGCCCAGACGTAAGCTTCAGAGAATCGTGAGTTTTTCGGTCCATACCCTGATTGAACGAAGGAGTACCAATTCAAAGTCTACTACTACGACGCTACCTCGATACTCATACCGACATTGATAGTAGCCACTACGTCGATACCGCAATTGAATGCGCATAGGAATGAATAAAATGCAATACCAGATAGAAGCCATCTAAGATAAATTACACTGTCTCTCTGATTTGAACCTACGACCTCTCGCTTAATAGCAAGAAACACTAACCACTAGGCGAATTCAGGGACGAGGTTTCCACTATCGTCGAACACTACCTCCGAAACGTCGCATAACCCAGGAGAGCGAACATGATATCCAACAGTGCACCCCAACCATCTCCGTAAATCAAATGCCCAAAGGACAATATTACCTATTCGAAAATACACCAACCGAAAATGAATAAACTCCTATCTTACTAACATCACACAAGATACATCTAGATATTTCCGGTACTTCAAAGCAGCGTGCGTAGGAGGGACCGGTACGCTCATATACACGTCAGATCTACACCAATAGCTCCATGAAGAGCGACAAAAAGAAGAAGAGGCGGATTACCCATCCGAGACTGGAACAAGCATAGTAGGGAGGGGGGCAACGCCCAATACAGGACGAAAGGAACTACAAAGGCTGGTAGCAGTGATGATGAACTCACACGCGATAGGAATGAACAGAAACAAGCGGTGATATATGTACATGGGAGGCTAACATGAGGATACATGAATGATATAATGACAAACATCTGAATAAATGTTATTGTCAATGGAATATTTAGAGTAGTCAAGCCTCTTCCTCGAAGACGGTTTCCCAGCTGGATAACTACCTGAGGACCGAAATACGTGCAAGTCGCATGATCAAACATATTCTCTGCGATCGGAGAAGTTTTCCTCATTGACTGTATACACCTTTTCGAACGTGGACTATCTATTTGGCAATGTAGAGAAGAAGTTAGAATTGTCCATATAATCGTTGAAAAGATGTAGAATGTGTCTATAGAGCGAATGGGAAGTTACCTCGACCACCACCGTACCGTTCCAGGTTCTATCCCCGCTCCTCACGCCCTTCGATCATTCGGTATCTTAGCAGTGGGTGTAGCCGTTCTCATATCATACTAGGGGCCGTCTTCAGAAACGGAAGTACTCAACCGTGACGCGTCTACCATACCACACCAGAGTGAACGTCCCCAACCTCTAATATGATCTCCTTGTTTTCCTAAAAAGCCCTAGGGACAGGCTCCCACAGCCCGCCATTGGAAGCAATAGCAACTACGCAAGACAAGTAGAATCCTCGTCACGTACAAAAAAATTGCAGTTAGCGCGCGCCCTGATAAAAGAAAATTATTGGAAAATTGCCGGCGTTGAATCGGAGCTAGAGAACAAAATGCTAGTGATCGCCTTTCAGAGACACGATCCCTTGCACAGGGTGATGTGTGGTAGCATGGTGGGGACTCGTCTCAGCTGCATTTAGCTGTCTCCAATGGATCTATCTCGCGATCATCGTCGAGGCAGCTACTCTCCGGAGATGCATGCTGGGTCTTTTAATGGATGTAAAATTGGGAGGCTTATAGCGGACCTACTTTGTATCTTACCATCTCGAGCTCTGGATACATCTTATACTCAGCTAGTAGAACTCCACTCTTTGTTATGACAAGTCAGTTCGACGGCATTCGTTCGTGTAACTCAACCTGTTACTCTTCGTTTAGAGGCCAGAGCTCTCAGCGGAGTACTCAGCATACTACGATTCGCCCGAGGTGTGGTATGGAATGTCTTTATTATAGGCCTTACCGAGCCTATCATGCGGTCATATCGATCGGACAGCTGTACTGCCTGTCCTTCCCCTCGTCTTCACCCACGCTCCAACATAACGCAAGTCGTGAACCCATATGGAGGTAGTGTCTCCGCAAGGTCATAGTAGCAAAATAGCTGTTCTTAAGGTACCGTCACATACGCTCCTTCCGAGTCGGGTGAGACAACAATAGTACCTCCATCACACGTAATACCGCCGCTGGGGATCGAACCCTATACCTCACCTGGGCCTACTGTTAGGTTCAGAAGAAGCCTGTGTCCATGAAAATTCGGGTGGCCCTGCATTCATCCCTCGTTGTCAATATAGCACTCACGTTAGCCAAAGCTGTTTGTCTAGTCGAAAGCGGTTCGCTCGCGGTGAGTAGTGGCTACCCTACCTCTCCTTTGCATGAATCTCATCGCCCCAGGATACTGTCAGGTCCTGGCCTCTCTAGTTGACTCGTTATTGGACTTACTCTCGCAGCTTGTAAGAAAAGATGGGTACCACTGTGGGAAACAGAGAAGAAGTTGATGTGACGTAGGTGCTTTGGTGGACGGAACATAAGGCGAATCATTCGTATAACGAGACCTACCCCGCTGGGCAACGCCGACTGGAGCCGTTGGGAGTGGTAGTATTATTTTTGTGGCGCAGTGACGGAGCAGTGTGATACCGTGGTGATAGGTGATATGTGCTTGCTGGATGGGTATGGCTTCCATTGAGGTCATAAGAGAATCCTGTGGCGTGTTGGCGGAGTATATCGGTAGTGTGATAGGAAGGGAAATTCACTAAGGCTATGAAGAGCATCAGGTACGGACAAGGTTCCGCCACTGGAAATGACGCCTATGGTCGCGGGGATAATGATTGTGGCTATCGCCTCAAAAACTGGCTTGTAATACTAAATGTAGAGGAGGCGGGTTCGATTCTATGCAAAGGTATTTTTACTGTCGTAAAATAGGAGAGGAGGCGAACTCTGAGAACGTGAAGGCCTTAGCTCAGGACCATGTTAACGATGTAATGCTCGACTGAACTCATGGAAATTCTCAAGGAGTTGCTGCTCAGGTGTTCTCCAACACTGGTGCTGTACTAGCAGCTTGGGCAGCATACGAAAGTCCTAGGCTCTGGTGGGTAGACTCTACGTCCGCTGTAGGTTGAGAGGAAGGTGTGGTATGGAATTGGAATATTGGTAGATACTTATATCACTGTATATTATTGGGTCCTGGATAGAAACGGGTAAGGAACAAGCTGCGATGATCGCTGGTAGCGGTAGTAGGCTCAGCAGTAGAGGGCACATGTATTGGTATTAGGTCGCTCTGCTGATCCGGAGTTCCTAGCCAACATAAGGGATATTGCGAATCAGTATCATCCTGAGCTGTAGGGCCTTGAGGAGCTCTGTAGTGGAGGAGTTGGAAACTGTTTTAGATATGCGGATATAATACGAGCCTATCACTTCGGTCCGAATTTTCTGGTTGAACTTGAGATGGTATTACCGGAGACGTACCAGCTTAGAGAAAGCCATGATATTGGTAGTGTGTTATTGAGATTCACGAGGAGGTTTTGATTGCATATATTTAGGTATGGGCCTACAGCATAAAATCGAGGATCTTGATCGAGTGGAGCGAGCGTTTGTGCATATTGACTATCAGGAACGCCCTTACGATGAACACGATGAGAACTCATGGCCAAACGAGTGGGTTGATAAAGGGATCGATGATGACTGTGTTGCTATGGAGGCGTTGGTAGGTACTATGAGAAAGTTAGAGGATCCCCACGGCAGAAGTCGGCTAAATGCCGCACTGTGAAGGAGGGCGAGGCTCATGCTTCTGGTGCTAGTGGTGGTGTCTTGGAAACACTGGCTCGTCGACTATAGTTCTTATCGTGTTATCACCATCATCATTACTACTGATACTATAACTACTGCAGCTCAATGCACGTCGTTGCTTTTTGCTGGTCTTAACATTCTTCTTCTGCCCCCCCCCTAGGGCGTCTGTACTCCTCGGCGTGCTTGTAGTTAGGGAACCCGCATCTGAACGTAGTAGTACAGATCTACTGAGAAAGGTTTCAGATAGCGACTATGTCGCACTTG